GCCCTTAGCAGGAACCGAACCTGGGTCTCTCTGGACCGCAGGCCGACGCTCCAACCGCTGAGCCAAACCGGCCAGGGCTTTCCCCTCTTCTAATGCCCCCTCCTCCCATAGCCTGGAATTAGGGCTGCCGTAATGTTCCCAGCATCTCCAAAGCCCTGTGGAATGTACTGGTGCTCCTGCAGAGCCAGACTCTAGGGATAACCAGTGACTCTGGGTTCTGATGTCAGAAACCAGATCTGAGGATGACTAGTACATGTTCTCCCCTAGCATAAACTCACAAACTTGGGCTTGTACCCTCAGCTCTGCTGGCAATAAAGCCTTTGTCTCCAGCCCAGAGATCCCATCCTCCCCACCAGGCACCATGCCTCGTTCTTTGGACAGAGAGGACTTGGAAGTGCTAGAGCTAAAGGCCAGGTTTTTCTTTGGGGGCTGTGTAACCTGATACAGGCATCTTACCCTCACTGTACCGATAAATCAGTGCATAAACAGGCCCTGTAATTGGAAAGGAGACATTCCTGAGGATCCATGGCTTTATGGAGACTGGAAGAGAGCAGGAGCAGAGTCTTGGAAAGCAGCTCTGCCCAGAAAGTCTTGGCTGTGTCAGCTACAGGTCAGAAATGTGCCACACCCCACCAACCTGTTCAGCACTCCCTGCCTTACCCCATCTCCATCTGAATCCCAAATGGGTCCAGGACCAGTCACAGAGCACTGTGTCAGATCTGGGAGAAAGAGAAAGAAGACCTCCACCTCCACCCCATGATGAAGAACCTAGTGGGCAAGGTATGGACAATAATAACACAGATGAATCTGGAAGTCATTCTGAAGAAAATTCAGTTCCCCAAAGATAGCCAAACTCGGGTCCACTGTTGGGGACTGGCCAGGGGCCAGGAGTTACACTGTGCCCAAACTAGGACCCACCTGGCATTGGCCATGGCCCCAGGATGGAGACCTGTCCTACCAGCTGATCTTCCAGAGGCAGAAGTCAGGTTCCTTCCTGCCCAAGGAATCATGGGGACAAGTCAGAAAAGTCAATCTTCTCTCAAATTTCTGCCTCTGCTGCTAGAAAAAGATTGCTTCCATCTCTCAAATGGTCTGCTCTGCTCACTCTCAGACTGATAAGTGGACAGACAAAATTTCCAGTGTTTTGAGTCCAGGCTGAAAAATCCTGTAGCCCAAAATCCTCTCCTGGGATGACCCAGGATCGCCCCCTGCTGCCTTGTTTGGCTGAAGCCAGGTGTGGGGTGAAGGAAGGTTAAAGCAGATTCTACTCATCCCAGCAGAAGGGGCCTGGCTTTATTCTGCCCCCTCTATACACTGCCAGAGTCTGAATCAGAGCTGAACTTCCCCAGCAGTCTCTGAGGAGGGAATGTCCAGAGAGCAGTCTGGGAGGAGAACTTACTGGACCCTGCAGCCTGGGCTCTGGGCACATGCTCTGAGGGCTTTCCAGCCTGTAGACATCCCTGGCTTCAGGAGAAGTCATGTTTTGCCTAGCAAAATCAACTGCCTCCTCTGAGCTTCAGAGGAGAGAGGCTGTTCCACACTCAGTGAACCATCTCAGTGAGTATGTGGTGGGGGAATCTGCCAGCCTTGGGGGAGCACAGGAGAGACCCCACTTCTTCCTAGGAATCAGTGGGACACCTCCAAATTTACCATTAATAATACAGATTATAACAGATAATAATAGGTGTTTAAAAAGAACCTCTGGCTACGTGTCAGTAGATTCTTCAGGTCCCTGTAGCTCTAACATTCTATGAGTCTATAGGATTCCATAACCCACCCAGTAATTGCCTTCTCTCCTGACCACCCACTACTCCCCACTCCTAGTTCTTTCTTTTATCTTGCTGCATCCTGAATAGTGGCAGCTTGAAGAAAGGGTCTTTGTCCAACACATCCCATTTTCAAGATAGAGAGAGCAAGAACAAGGGAATAGGAAGAAGTAACAAGAATAAGGAGTGGAGAGATGGCCAAGTAAAACCCAAATTTGGTCTGAGAAAAACCATCTGGAGAGGTGGGGGACAAACCTCAGCATAATTTCTAGTCATTTTCCCTCTAAACATTTCATAGCTGTATCCCTATGCTCACACTAAATATAGGAGTGAGTGCATGCATGTGTATACACACTCATGTGCTTAGATAGTGGGGAAGGATTAGCTGTGTGTGGGGTTGGAGGGGGCAGCAGTTCTCTTTTAGCCCAGAGAGTTCTGCCCCCACATGCATAATTATCTTTCCTGTTCACACCCCTGCCACCCACCCCAGACTCCAAGCCAGACAGCATTAGGTCTTTGTGCTTTCAAAACAGCTGCCCCCTAAGTGCCACCTTCAGGAATTGCTGAGCTGCTCAAATGAGGGAAATGGTAAGGAGGAGAGATAGTTGTCTTCTCTCCAGAGCACAATCCCATCAAACAGCCCACCTTCATCTCCTTTCCCCTCCTCTCCATCTCTTTTCGTCATTTCCAACAACAGCTGCAGAAACAACCCTCCTCACCGTGAGCAGTGGGCTCAGGGAATATGCCTACTTCTCAAGGCAAGAGACAGCTGGGGAGAGGGGTCTGGGGCAGCAGCATTCCCAGCAATGCCAATACCCTCTGCCTCCCTTCGTTCCACAATTAAAGAACTAAAGGAAAAGACTTTCAAGTTAATCTCTACAGCCACTTTGCAGTCACTGCAGCCTCCCAAAATCCATAACCAAAGTAGCCTATACTTCTCACCCCTTGGAAGGTCACACCAGGATATCTGACACTGAAAGACAGATCTGCTCTGGGAATATAAAGAGACACTGATGAATTCGCCTACACACTAGCAACCTACTTCCATTAACTCCTATGTCCAAATAATTTCTTTAAACCACCAAGGATGAGATTGGGGGAGGGGAAGGTAAGTCTGTGACATCAGTCGTCAATGGGGATTCCTCCTTCAAACCTGGTCAGGGCTGGGCAGGAAATTAGCCCTGCACAACACACACACTCTGGGGGCTTCTGGGGCAAAGCAGTGGAAATGAGACTTCACCAACCCACCCCAGGCTCACCTCCCCAACCCATCCCCACCACCCACAGTGCCTCCTCTGACCTAAGTTATTTTCCACCTAACCCCCGCCCTTGAGTCCTTGGAAAAACAACAGAGATGCGGACTCACACACACCCCTTCCTGGAGGTTTCAGGGCTCTGGCTACTCCTAGGCAGGGCAGGGCTACATCTTAGGGGCATCCTGACCCTTCAGGCAGACAAGAGAGCATCTCCTGTGTGACCAGCATCCAGGGGGACCCTAAGGAACAGAGCAAGAGAACTAAGATCTGTACTGCAGTTCCAGGTTTACTCATCCCTTCTCAAATTACCCTACTTAATGCCCTCATTTTACAGATGAGGAAAATGGAGTCTCAGAGGGATTGACTTGGATTTGCCCAAAGCTACCAGCTAAAAAACGAAAAAATCTGCATTAAGCACAGGTCTTCCACCTCTAAAGCCTGCTTCAGGGAGATCATGTCCTGGTAGGGAAAGGGACCAGGAAGCAGGTGACATTTCATTTATCAAGTGTGCCCACCCACTCTTGGCTCTAAAACACAAGATCATGAGTTCAAGGCCTACAGTTCTAGCCCCTGCCCGCATTATACTGCCTGCCCACAAACCAGCCTCCAGCTGGAAGGGTTGTACATCTTGGAGATGGGCCAGGTGGGGCCCAGAAGGCGGAGGGAGAGAGAAGGGAAATGCCGGCATTTCTCCATGGCCCAGGAATAGGAGAGGGAATGAGAGCTGGGCAGATGGGCCCGGAAGGCCATGTGGGAAGGCTGGGCTATAGGAAAAGTATGGGCATAATATAGCCTGGCTGAAACATGACTTTGCCCAGTTGGCAACCTAGCACTTCTCCCTTCCTCCATTCTCCTCATCTCTCTCCAAATTGCCTGCTTCAAATGTGATTCTTTCCAAATGGGCCCTCCCACCTCCCATGAAGGGACTGGCACATGGAGGACGCTGTAGACTGATTACTGACATCATAGCCTTCTTCCAGCAGCAGCAGGCTGGGGAGCTGGCAGCCCAGACCACAATAGGAGCAGCTTGTGATGTTCTGTTCCAGCAGATTGGAGAGGGCTCCCCATAGCTCAGACTTGAGGCTGAGGAGCCAGGATGGACAAAGCAGGAAAGAGGAGGCCCTCGAACTCTTGGCCAACCAGTGGCTTATTGAGTATAGGTGCCCATATGGGCTCTCCCTGCCTAGAGGAAGAAAAATCAGCATTGTCCAGCTCTGTGATTCTGATGGCTATTGGGGTTCAGTGTTGGGATCACCACTGCAGGTACTCAATCTGTTCCAGGCCCTAGAGTTCCCAGAAATGAGGAGAGGGTGAGCATGAACCATTCACTAGCACTTGCTGGCTCCTTCTATGCTTTTTTTTTTTTTTTTTTCTTATCCTCACCCGAGGACATTCTCCCATTTTTTGTTCAGGTAGAGTGGGAGGGAGAGAGAGGAACAGAGAGAGAGAGAGAAACATCGATGTGAAAGGAACACATCGAGTGGCTGCCACCCGCACAACCGACCAGGGCCGGGGACAAACTGCAACCAAGATACATGCCCTTAGCGGGAACCGAACCCGGGTCTCTCAGGACCGCAGGTCGACGCTCTAACCGCTGAGCCAAACCGGCCAGGGCTTTTTTTTTTTTTTTTTTTTAATCCTCACCCAAGGACATTTTTTGATATTTTGTTCAGATAGAGTGGGAAGGAGAGAGAGAGAGAGAGAAACATCGACGTGAAAGCGACACATCGAGTGGTCGCAACCCACACGACCCAAAGAGGGCCGGGGACAAACTGCAACCAAGGTATGTGCCCTTAGTGGGAACCGAACCCGGGTCTCTCCGGACCGCAGGCCAACGCTCTAACCGCTGAGCCAAACTGGCCAGGGCCTTCCATGCTTCTTAATAGTATAAGAACGAGATGGTGCTGAGTAACCAGGAGGTGCAGGTTTATTGAGGCAAGTACCTGCCGGGTTGCCTCCAAGTAGAGCGCAGCAGCCGCTTTGTACAGACTAAGGGTTTTTAAACTTAGGGCTGGGGTGGGGGTTGCCCCGCCGAGGAGTTGTGGTCCTCCTTGATTGGTCGGGCTGGGGTCTTTCCGAGTGTTGTTCTTCTCTTCCAGCAGCTGTTTAGGTTTAGGTGGGGGTTTCAGGATACTGTTCCGCCTGGCCGGAGGGATAAGCTTTGGTTTCCTGGAATAAGGGGCTTGTGGTGAGTTAAACATTAAGAGGCTGGGGGTAGTAACATGGAGGTTAAAGTTAACAAATAGCAGAAACTCACCTCCTTTCTTATGTGTTTCATTGAAGCTAAGTGCGGGGTGAGTGTATCTTTGCTTCCCAGCATCTTGTGGAGCTACCAGTCATTTGAGATATCTAGTAGGACCAAAAGTTTCATGAGATGTCAAGAGGAACAAGAGACAAATACTTTGAGATTGGATTCAAGGCATAGCCTCCTCTCTGATAATATTATCTGGTTACCCTTAAATGAGGGCACCCCCAATATTCTACCTGTAGATCACAGCCACGGAACCCAAACTCTTCAAGAGTAGCTGCAGAAGTAGCAGCCAACACAGAACCACAGTTTTAGAACGGTCCTCAGGGATCCTATAGAGATTCCAGGCCAAAGGACCTCACCACCTATTTGATGATAGAACAAAGTGTGGGTTTTGGATTTTGCAGGGGGAAAGCAGGTGATGTGGCAGAGAGACCTTCATGCATAGAGGTGCTCAATAATGCTGGGTGAGCCCTGGCCGGTTTGGCTCAGCGGTAGAGTGTCAGCCTGTGGTCCAGAGAGACCCGGGTTCAGTTCCCGCTAAGGGCATGTACCTCGGTTGCAGTTTGTCCCTGGTTGGGTCATGCGGGTGGCAGCCACTCGATGTGACCCTTTCACGTCGATGTTTCTCTCTCTCTCTCTCCCTCCCCACTCTATTTGAACAAAAAAATAATAATAATAATGCTGGGTGAGAGTCAGTGGTACAGAAATGTGCTTCCAAAGAAGCCCACTGTCCTTTAGTGTGAGAAGACAGCAGGCTAGAGTAGGAGGGGGAGGGGGGTCTTGCTTTTTCACCCAATGTGATTAGGGAACCTACTCTAGCATCTCTACCAAAATGTAGGTGGAAGGACAGGTTACCATTAGATGGGCCTCCTACACTGGCATGAATCATTTTCAGGACACCTCTGAGCCTAGCTGGACCCTAATCTTTGTCTTGATGCTTCCTCTCCAGCTGAGGCTGGGAAGCTGGTGCAGACGCTCACAGCCTCACTCTTCACAGTGCTGCCATTAAGGAATCTGATTAGCAGAGCCCCATGCTAGGCTGCTAATGGGTTGGGGACATTAAGCAAAAATGGTTTCCCAGACATCAGCACTGAGCAGAGCCCAGGAACAAACAAATATTTTAATTTCAAAGAAATAGAAGTGTGAGAGGCTTCCCTCTGCTTATTCTGCATCTATTGTTCTCCCATCCCCCACGGGCAACAGTTTCTACAATTCTCAGGCCCAGGTATTCCTTACTTTGGAGGGGTTGTACACAGGGACTGGAGGTGGGGGCGTGTGTGGACAACAACAGATCTTTACTTACCCAGACATATCGGAGTGGAAGAGATCCTCAAAGATTTACAGGAAGGGAGATTCCTAGGACTGACTTGGCTAACAACTCTATGGTCAGGAAGTCCTTGATATCTAGTTTGAATTAATCTTGTGAAAACTCAAGGCCCACTCCCCTATGTTTGGAGAGTTGGAGGAAAGGACTGGAGTGGAAGATCAGGGATGGGACATTTTTAGACCCAAATTAGTTATTTTAGGCTAATAGTTTCCCCATTAGCCTGTGTGGATACAGCAGCATCTGAGAACTTGCTATAAATGCAAATTCTCAGGCCCCACCCCAGAAGTACTGAATTAGTAAACAACTGGCAATCTTGTTTTAGCAAGCCCTCCAAGTGGTTCCAATGTACGCCTAAGGTCGAGAACCAGGGCTTTTGGCATTACCTCTGAGATGAAAGGGGGTGTCAAAAACGAAAGAGGAATTAGAAGGGAATGCACCAAGCAGCCTTGTCCAAAGAAGGAAAAAACTGGAATTTTCCCAATGTGGAAAATCAAAGACAGGCCTCACAGGAGGCCTCTGATCTTCTCAGGCTGTAAATGTCAAAGCAGTGTCTAAGTGGCCCTGCATGGAGTAGTCTGGGGAAAATAACCAACCCTGACCTTTTGCATTTTGCCCAGAGCAGGAAAAGATAATGGAACAATTGTTTCAGGTAATATATTTCCTATTCAGCTTTTCTGAGCTACCTTGTCCTCCAGTTGCACCCCTGTCCTTGCTCCCATCCCCCACCCCCATCTTCCCAGCCCTCTGGCCACCCTTCTTGTCTTATGTCTTTTCCTTCATCCATTGACTGAGAACTGGTTCAAATTGTTTCTTAACCAAACCAGCAGGGAGTGAGGCCCTCCTCCCTAGGGAGTGAGAGAAAGAAGCCCACTATAACATAGAACTATAACCTATAATGGGTCAGCCTCTCTTTATACCCTCTTTCCCCACCCAGGCCACAACAACTCATGGTGCCTCCATAAAGAAAGGAGCCACTCTTTCCCTGATCTTTTATACTGTACCTCAGTGATCATACTTGAAAAGAAAAACAAAAAGGACAAAATGAAGGCTTCTAACCAACCCATTAGTTAGTTTCCTGAGGGCCAGTACTGGTCTATAGCGTATTCTCCTTTCATATCCACCATACTAGATACCTAACACAGTAGATGGCTAATGGATATTTGATAAATTGAACTGAAGAGAGCTCTCAGAAGCAAAAACTAATCTGTTTCTGCTTCCAAACTGGAACCATGACAGAGATCAAGAAATAGGTCCTCTCTGAAATGATTAGGAAAGAAGACCCTTCCTGCTATTCTTGAGCCCAGGCACTGTCATCTTCATCCATCATTCATTCAATACACATGTGTAGCACACCCACTACATGTGGACCCTAGATGTTATGTTCTAGTGGGGAGAAAGAGATATAAAGTAAGTAAACATATAATGTTTCAGGTGGCGTTCATTGACTTGGGGAAAAAAGTAGTGTAAGGAGGCTAGAGATGGTGGGAATAGGGGTCAAGAAAAGCTGCTCTGAGGAGGTAGCATTTGAGCAGATACCTGAAGGAAAGGAAGGAGCAAGATTTGCAGCTATCTGGGGAAAGACTGTTCCAAGCAGAGGGAACAGCAACTGCAAAAACCTTGAGGTGGGAACATTTCGAAAGGAGTCCAGCATGGCTAGAGTGGAATGAGCAAGAGGGGCAGATGCAGGAAATGAGATCAGCAGGCCTTGTAGACCACAGCAAGGATTTGAGACTTAATTTCGAGTGAGAAGTCATTAGAAAATCTGCATGGAGAAATGACATATTCTGATTTTATAGGACTACTCTGGCTGCTGTGTTGAGAACATCCTAATGGGATATCTGCAACTTTCAAGTCATGTTCTTTTTTTTTATCCTCACCCGAGGACATTTTTCCATTTTTTGTTCAGATAGAGTGGGAGGGAGAAAGAGAGAGAGAGAAACATCGATGTGAAAGGGACACATCAAGTGGCTGCCACCCACACGACCCAACCAGGGATGGGGACAAACTGCAACCAAGGTACATGCCCTTAGCGGGAACCGAACCCGGGTCTCTCTGGACCGCAGGCCTACACTCTAACCGCTGAGCAAAACCGGCCAGGGCTCAGGTCATGTTCTTAAAGGAATGGACCTGCCCTCTACTTCTTCATTCCCCACATTCCATAGGTGGGGATCTCATGGACATGCCAGTGGCAGCTGGAGCAGCTATCTTAGGCCACAAGATGAAAGTTACATGTTGAAGATGACAGAGTAGCAAGCCAGGAGAAGCTAGGATCCCTGACATAGTGGAGTGACTGTATCAACCCCAGACTACTATGCACAGAATACTTACTATTACTTCTTGAGAAAGAAGTAATCTCTCTTGCATAAAACACTGTATTTTGGAGACTGTGATATAGCAGCCTGATCTGAACTGTAACTCGTTCAGAGGTGATTGCAATTGCCTAGGCAAGTGATGATGGTAGCTCTGATGAGGGTGGGTGGTATAAGTGACTAGGTTCTGGAGATAAATTAAAGGGTAGAACTGACAGCATTTTCTTTTTTCTTTTTTCTTTTTTTATCCTCACGCGAGGACATTTTTCCATTTTTTGTTCAGATAGAGTGGGAGGGAGAAAGAGAGAGAGAGAAACATCAATGTGAAAGGGACACATCAAGTGGCTGTCACCCACATGACCCAACCAGGGATGGGGACCAACTGCAACCAAGGTACGTGCCCTTAGCGGGAACTGAACCCAGGTCTCTCCAGACCGCAGGCCGACGCTCTAACTACTGAGCCAAACCGGCCAGGGCTGACAGCATTTTCTGATAAGGAGGCATGAAAGAGGGAAGAGGGTGTCTAGGGGGGCAAAAGGAGAAACATTTGTAACAAAAATAATTTAATAAAAATTGGGGAAAAAAAAAAAAGAAGTATGAAAGAAAGAAGAGCCAGGAATGACTACAAACTATGAAACCAGGCACAACAGAGTTGCATTTATTGCAATGGAGAAGATTGGGGGACCAGTGTGTTTGAGTGGACTATAAGTGACATTCACATCGAGATGTCAAGTAGCAGCTGAATATGGTTCTAAAGTTCAGGGGAGATGTAGGAGCTCAGTATATCCATTTGGGATTTATCAACATGTAGCTGAAGGGATTTCTTAGGGAGTGAGAGTAGATAAAGTAGAATAGAGGTGTGATGACAGTCCGGGGGCATCCCAGAGGTGGGGAAGATGAGGAGGAGCCAACACAAGAGGCCATAAAATAGAAAGAGAAGTGTCTTGGAAGCCAAATAAAGTGTTTTAAGAAGGAACGAGCAACCATCCATGACAAATGCTGCTGTTAGGAGGAATAAGATGAGAATAAAGAGATGAACTCTGAAACTAGCAACAGAGATATCATGGGTGACATTGACACGAGAATTTTCAGTGGAGCATAGAGGACAAGAGAGAATGAGAAGAGAGGAAGTATAGACAACTCTGAATTCTGGGCAAGGAGAAATCACCCCTGCAATCTAACTTCCATCCTTCCTATCATATTTCCAAGCATTCTCAAGGACACAAGGGCACCTAGCTTCCCTTGCCCACATGTCTGAATGACCCTTGGTGTCTTCTCTCCTGGATTCCCCAGGCTTCGGAGCCCAGGCCTTCCTGTATCTCTGCCCTGCTGGCTCCCAAGGCCGCTGTCAAGGACTGCCTGTGCAGGCTAGGCAGCCAGGTCTGACTCTCCTGGATCATAATTAGTTCTACTGCTAACGATGTTTGGCCCCTGTGGAATAGCAACCTGGGAAATTCTGATACTTCCAATTTTCCCCCTCAGTGCTTTCCTGGATGTAATTTCCCAGTCGGTGCCTGTGCTGCCCCCTCACCAGGGAGAATGAAGGCAGAGCGTCAGATGCCGTTCCAGAGGGCCTAATCAGTTACCTGAAGTCAAGTCCTGACCATTATCATGGCAGAACACATTATCACAGACACTGGCTTTGGGGAAGGGAGGGTGTTTGCTGTGAGGAAGAGATGGGGGACCCA